CACAGTATTTTTAATCCCCTCTTATGCATATGAAGTCTGGACAATGAATAAGGAAAACTGGTGCTGACAAAGAATATTGAATATGCTGTGAATTGCAGAACAAACAAATCTGTGTTGGAAAGGGTACAAACGGAACAGAAAGCTCTTTGAGAGAGGGAATGTTGAGACGTCTTCCCAAGTACTTTGAACATAAGGTAAGGAAGAACGTCATTCTTGGTAAAGTTTTTGAAAAAGAGGAAGGCCCTGATGAGATGGATTGACACAGTGGCTGCAACAAGGGCTGTATCATCTGTGAAGGAGTAGGAGCAGGCAATTTTACCCATAAAGGGTCACAGTGAGTGGGAAACATCTTCAAGGCCCCTAACAATAACCATCGATTTGAACAAGCCGTCAGCAAGTACTTTACAATCATCCAGGTCGTGCCTACCCCTCCTCAGTTTACCACCCTCATGCTTCTTCCCAATTATTTCATCCCCTGTATTAAAGCACCACACTAAGCAGCGTTTGCCTTCTCTATGCTTTCTTCCACAGGGCCATTCTCCCTCTACCATCACTCCTCTTCCAAACCTTGCTTAGGTTTCAACCTCTTGAGAGTATAAACCTGCGCTTAATCTGTAACTCCCGAGAGAAGGTAAAAGAGATCCTTGAACAAAACAGATTACTGTGTAACTCTTTTGTGATCCAATGACTAATGAAGGCTGGCCCTTTAGCAATGCCTGAAGCCTTTTCTAATCTACTCTCTGGGTTACCATTAATGTTATTAATGTTCCCGTAGTCTCGAATTATTCACAAAAAACACTCATGAGCATTTTTATGCAATGCACCAGGGGAACTTCTGAAAAATTCATGGAAGAATGGCATTTTTAAATTATGGAATTTTTCTATGAACTGTTTGAAATCCACTAGCATGTACATATGGCTGTCAAACAATTGGGCCATTAGAAATAGAAAGGATTTCACATTCAGGGGAAAGTGTGCTTTGTGATGTAGCATGAAATCCCCCAGGGAATGCTAATTATCATCTTGCCTGATGGAACCAATTCTGATAAACTGAGATCAAGCAAAAAGCAGATGAAGCTTGCATATCACATTTTTCACGTTGCAGGAAAAAGGCAGTTCAAATGAGGAAGCCTGAACTTGATGAGTTGAAGTGGTCTAAGTGCTTCAAGTGCCAAGCTCTAGGCCCCTCCTACTACCAAGTAACCGCACAAGACTCCCCCAGGCTTGCCCTCGCCCCAGCTACCTCTGCCCCTGCTGCCTCTTTACATCCCCTCCTTCGCCCCCTTTCCCCTCCTGCCCTCCCATCCAGCGACCACGGACCGTACCTTGTATGAGAGCCAGAAGGCAATAGTGGAGCAGGTATCCCTGCGGCGTGTTGCAGCGTTGGAGACTTTCTGGGTGGAAGTTCCCCCATCCGCAGGGTCCCTCCTCGAACTCAGACAGCGAAAGTGGCTCCGATTGCTCTCCAGGGGGGAGGGGAGCTCCGGGCAGAGATGGGCGAGCTTGTGGCTCTGGCGACTCCGAAGGCTTCGCGGGCTCCGGAGCCCGGGGCAGCGGCGAATCCTCTTTCTGCGTGCAGAAGGGCCGGGCGGACACCTCGACCTGACCGGGCGACGCAGACCATCGGCGCGGGGTGTCCGGGCTGGAGGGGACGAAAGCAGGGTTCTCGATGCCATTGGCGTCATTCATGATCGGAATGAGTGCCTCCTGCCTTCCGTGCTCGC